GGCAGCCTTGCAGAGGGAAGTGCCCGGTGAGGGGCAGCCTTGCAGAGGGAAGTGCCCGGTGAGGGGCAGCCTTGCAGAGGGAAGTGCCCGGTGAGGGGCAGCCTTGCAGAGGGAAGTGCCCGGTGAGGGGCAGCCTTGCAGAGGGAAGTGCCCGGTGAGGGGCAGCCTTGCAGAGGGAAGTGCCCGGTGAGGGGCAGCCTTGCAGAGGGAAGTGCCCGGTGAGGGGCAGCCTTGCAGAGGGAAGTGCCCGGTGAGGGGCAGCCTTGCAGAGGGAAGTGCCCGGTGAGGGGCAGCCTTGCAGAGGGAAGTGCCCGGTGAGGGGCAGCCTTGCAGAGGGAAGAGCCCGGTGAGAGGGGAACCTTGCAGAGGGAAGAGCCCGGTGAGAGGGGAACCTTGCAGAGGGAAGAGCCCCAGGAGAGGGCAGCCTTGCAGAGGGAAGAGGCCCAGGAGAGGGGCAGCATTACGGAGAAGCCCCTGTGTGGGTGTGGAGAGCCCCAGTGAGAGGGGCAGCATTACAGAGCGGGCTAGTGAGAAGGGCGGTGTACAGAGAAGGCCCTAGTGAGAAGGGTGGCATACAGAGAAGGCCCACAAGGCTTAGAGATACAGAACACCCAGAGCCAGAGAACTGTGGCCAAGTGGAAGAGAGGTAGCCTCCCTATAAAAACACAGATCTCATCAAAGTCATGGTGGGCGAGAATAGGAGGGTACAAGTCAGAAGCTTGGCACAGTAGAGGAGGCGGCAGGGGCTAGCACGGCGACCCTGCCGTCCCTCCTGATACAATGCCTATTAAACCTTTACTCAGCATTCCAGGCAACATTCCACTCAGCAATCAACACCTGTCCAACTGTCAAGATGGATGTTTAGATCAGAGAAACATCCTACGGTCAGAATCTTTGGGGACCAGACCTATTCTTGTCAATTTTATCCCTCCTGTACAATGGGCAATGCTTTCCTCATTGTCCTAGCTGGATTGCTCATGATGGCTTGGTGCCATTGTAGCACCACCAGTGCCCCTCTGTCCTGCAGGAGGCTAGAGAAATGCCAAGAGTCAGGGCTTTCCTGAGGAAACAGCATGCCTGGTTTCCAACAGGATGCTACCATTCTACTCCTTTTTTCAGATCTTTGCACAAATTCTGGGAATTAAGAAAGCTACATTGTATTATTATTCCTACTATAAAAAGCTTAAAATAAATATCTAGCAGAAGCAAAGCAAAACAAAGCAAAAAAAATACAAACAAAAGGATTACAATAAAAACAAATGGTCAATCCAGCCTTCTCAATCTTTGGCATGGCTGAACTATTTGAGGCCCTGGAGGCAATGCTCCATATGATGCGCCAAGGCTAAGTCACTATGCCCAGCTGCTGAGCCCTTGGAATTTCTGGTTTTGATGGATGGAGCAAATTAGGAGGTTAGGTAAATAACCAAATTAAGATGAGTAACGTGATGGTTTTGTTGAAACAAAGGAATATGCTGACAGAATAGAACATGTACAGTATGATGACCACAGGGAAACCAATCAATGATACCCAGAGATGAAAAGTCATCAGAAGGGGAGAAACAATACAAAAGGAAGGATTTCAGAGTAGCAAAGGTCCCTGAGAGGGGAACCTAAGGCCACCATGGACAGAGGTCTCATTCACCCCATGGCTTGGGGCAAGCCCCGGCCCTCAACCTTCATGCTGCTGACTGCTGACATTCAATAAAGAACCACAGGGTGAAGCTCGTGTACTGACCAGACGTACCTTCCGAATGTGACAGCCTTAGGACCAGTAGGTAAAGAATCATTTGCTTTATTCTTATTTGCTATCACTGTGTGTAGCAATAAAATTTGCCTATTATCAAATGGAGAAGTCGTGGTTAGTCTGAGGGTTTGGGTCCACCTGGAACAGGGTATCTGGGTCTTCAATCCAGTGCCAACACATATAATAGATTTCAGGTGATGTTTTGAAAAGCACCTAAGTAATTTTAAGTCTAAAGGACAGAAATCTTGTGTTGCCTTAAGATGTCAAATATGAATATTTGAAAAATTACCCTTAAATCCTTTCCTCAGAAGTTACTTAGGGGGAGATGTTTTAGGGGTATTTAGACTTTCAGTATAATTTACAAAAGTGCAACCTCTGTTGAAATCAATGGCACTTAAGTGCCCAGGCACTTCTCTAAATCCCACTAAGTGCCTATCTGCATCTTTCAGTACCCAAAATACCCTTTGATCTCTAGAATCTCAAGATTAAATTAAATATAATGGGCTTTAGACTTCTTCAGGCCCTTTAGAAAGCAGTCCTTAGATGGTTCTGAAAATATTATCCTTTGGCATTCCATCACACATGTATTCAAGCCATCATAAAAACTGGTGCTTGCTAGGAATCTTGTTGGAAATCTGGTCAGAGAGGCTAAAGATGAGGTTTGATCATGGAGAATGGATTACCCTCTTAATGGCCATTTCAGGTGAGGATTATG